ATGGGGAGCAGGAGGAGCAGTATAGCAGGAAAAAGGGTGAGCAGGAGGAGGGCCATGGGCCATGGTGGGATGCTGATTACGATGATGACGGTGACGATGATGATGATGATGATGCTGATGATGATGACGATTAGGGCTCACATGGTGCTCTAACATAGCATGTTAGAGCTCCCAGGGAGCTTTAACATCGCATGCTAGAGCTCCATGTTAGAGCTCCCTGGGAGCTCTAACATGGCACGTGATACCATGTTAGACATGTTATGCTAGAGCTCCCTGGGAGCTCTAACATGCCATGCTCGAGTCATGCTCGAGCTACTTGGGAGCTGTAACCTGCCATGTTCGAGCTCCCAGGGAGGTCGAACCTGCTATGTGAGAGCTCCCATGGAGCTCTAACATAGCATGTTAGAGCTCCCAGGGATCTCTAACCTAGCATGTTAGATCTCCCAGGGAGCTCTAACATAGCAGGTGAGAGCTCCTATGGAGCTCTACCATTTTGTGTTAGAGCTCCCATGGAGCTCTAACATAGCATGTTAGAGCTCCGACGGAGCCCTACTATACGAGGTCAGAGCTCAGCCTATCATGTTGCACCTCACTAGCCTTCATGTTAGGTCTCACACCGAGTTCTAACAAGGGAGGTTCCACTCTTCCCCCGAGATGCCGTCGTCGTGTCCTCTATCCCGCCCTTCCCTCCAGGGGGAGCTCAGTCGCCGTCGCTCCCCTCTCCTCCATCCGCCCCTCTCCGCAGGTGGTGATCGGCGACCTCGGCTGTCGGATTCCCACGACAGGTTGAAGAAGAAACTGCGCTACAGCCCGACCTGCGATGACCTCGGAGCATGCACGCCTGCCTACAGAGCGGTAGACGTTTTCTTGGGGAACCAGCGCTACTCAGAGGACCTGGACATCTGGTCCATCGGGTGCCTGATCGCGGAGTTGCACACGCGCCAGGTGTTGTTCCAACCAGAGCCTTTTGGCGCGATCGGGCAGCCATGGGTGCACCCGAAAGACTTCGTGGATACCTTCAGGGAGGTCTTGGGGATCCCAGGCGAGGAGCCAGGGCCCGGAGACTACGGTTACGAGGATCCCGCCCCATGCCTGGACAACCTGCCTTTCTTTAAGAAGTGGTTCGAGCGGTCGGGCGAGGATTGGCTAAAGGCTGAAACGGCGAAGCCACTCGACGGCCGAGGACGCTGGCCCGTTGCCGAACTTGCAGGCTGCCCCCCCAGACTTGTTGAAGGCCGCCGAGAGCTGCCTGCTTTGGCACCCTGGCGCCAGAGCGACAATCCGCCGTCTAAGGGCGCGTCGCATCCTGCAGCCGGCTGGCACCCAGCTCGACGCGCGCATCTCCATGGCGCAGGGAAAACGGCACGGGCACGATTGGGGAGGCGGAGCTGGACCCAGACTTGCTCCGCTTCTTGCAGAGAGACCCGTGCTGGCAGAACTTGGCCAAGGGGCGCCTGGACACGGGGGCAACCGTCTCCAAATGCGTCCGAGGCGACGAGGCGGCGCAGGGCTTGAAAACAGAGGTCGCAGGCATCGTGGACGACGAAAGTCCCCCAAAGTGCCGCAGCCTCAACAGGGGCGGGAATTTGCAGATCACCCCCTCGCCCCACATGGCCGCCTTCGTGCGAGCGCTGCGGAAGAAGATGCGCCCGCGGCTGCAACAGCTGGGAGACAAAATGCGCGGGGCTGTCAAAGCCGACGGCGTGCCACCTGCCATCGTCGAGCAGAACGGAAAGCCCATCGTGACAGAGCACTTCGCCGACAACGCGTTCGCGTACGCATCGATCCAGCTCGTGCAACCAGGCGCGCGGGGCGATGGTTGGCACGCAGATGGCGGATGCTCCCTGTTGCGCGCGGCCGCGACGCTTTTCGGGGCGCGCTCCGTGCAAGTGAGGATCCCAGGGGGAGCGCATGATGGGGCGTCATCCTCGAGCGCAGCCTCCTGCGGAAAGGGTCGTCACCCTCGAGCAAAAGCCCGGGCCGGGTCCTTCTACATGGGCACCCTGTCCTCCCGCGAGCACAACGTGCACCGCCGCGCCTCCGCGGGCTGCCAGGACTGCTTCGCGACCCGCCACGAGCTGCAACAGCGCGTAGACGACAGCAGGCTGCAGATCGCCGCCATGATCCGCCCCGACGTCTTTCGGGAGTACAGGGCGCGCAGGATCGACGCCACGCCTGGCCCGAAGGAGTTCTTCAACGTCGTGAACCACGTCGTGGCCGATCACCTGGCACGGGTCCCCGTGGCGCTGCCCGACCTCGCGGAGGTGCTTGACGAAATGCGGTGGCCCGCTTCCACGGGGGCTGTGGTGCTTTCCGATTCCGATTAGGCTGCAACAGTATCCGGATCCGATTAGACTGCCACAGTACTCAGCATCATCATCATCATCTTCATCTTCATCGCCATCATCATCGCAATCATCGGCTTCATCATCATCGCCATCATCATCATCAGCATCAACATTGTCACGCCGCCATCATCGTCATGCGGGTCATGATTTAATCATCATCACTACATGATGATGACTATGACGAGGAGATGATGATGGATATTGTGATGATGACGATGATGAGGAGATGGTGATGATGATGGCGATGACGCGGACGATGATGAATATCATGACGACGTTGATGACGATGATGATGACGACGATGCAACAACAGGTTGAGTCGGTTGAGTCCGAAAACCCCGCCCTAAATCAAGCCAGAGCATCCCCGCTGCGATTTGGGCCACAATCTTCGATGCGATCGAAGCTACGTCGATCTCTACTGAAATCCCGAATCGTCTGATCACGACGATTTCCGCTGCGATCCAGGCCCAAATATCCATTGCACTTTCCGCAGCGGTCCAAGCCTCCCCGATCATTCCGATCTCCACTGCGATGCAGGTCCAAATTTCAACCGCGGTTTTCAGTGCGATCCAAGCGATGCATGCCAAAACCTCCACGGCGATCCCCGCCGAGATCCATGCGAAAATATCCACGGCGATCTCCATTGCGATCCAGGCCAAAATCTCCTCCCTGATCCAGGTCAGAATCTCTTCTCACGAACTCTCCACGTCGATCTGCACGGCGATCCTAGGTCAAAGCGTCCACGGCGATGTCAGTAGCTATCCACGCCAGTATCTCCACGACGATGGCCGTGGCGATCCATGCAAACATCTCCACGACGATCCCTGCGGCGACCCAGGGCAAAATCTCCACGGCGACCGCCGCTCTGGTTTTTATCCAAATCTCCACGGCGAACTCAGCTGCGATCCAGCCCCAAATCTCCACGGGCCCCCCGATGCGATCAAAACCAAAATCTCGACGGCGATTTGTGCCGCAGTCCAGGCCCAAATCTCCACGGCGGTCCCCGCCGCGATCCAAGTACAAAATATCACCATGGCGACTACACCCGCGATCCAGGCCAAAATCTCCACGGCGCTCTCCGCCCTGGTCCATACCTAAATTTCCTAGTCGATCTTCGCCGCGATCCAGGCCAAAACACTACATGCCGATCACCACCGAGATCCTGGATCAAATGATCACCGCGATCTCCGTCGCGATCCAGGCCAAAATCTCCACGGCACCCTCCGCCACGATCCAGCCCCACATCTCTACGGCGACTTTGCCCCCACGATCCAGGCGAAGATCTCCCAAGCGCCCTCCGCTGCGACCCATGCGAGAAACCGTCACGACAACTCAGCCAAACTGCCAAATCAAAATCTGCCCGGCGATCACCGTCGCGATCCAAGCCGGAATTTCCATTGCCATCTCCGCGGCGATCTCCGCTGCGATTTCCGCTGCCATCCGATACTTCACCGCGATCTTCGCGGTGAAGTATCCCCACGACTTCACGGCGATCTCCACTGCGATCCAGGCCAAAATCTCCGCCGCGATCCCCGCGCCGGTCTTTACCCAAATCTCCTCGTCGATCTCTGCCGTGATCCATGCCAAAATCTCCACGTCGATCTCCACCGAGATCCCAGATCAAACGATCATCACCGCGATTTCCGTTGCGATCCAGGCCAAAATCTCCACGGGGCCCTCCGCTGCTCTGGAGGAGGAGGGGGAGGAGGAGGAGGAGGAACAGAAGGAGGAGGAGGAGGCGGAGGCGGAGGAGGAGGAGGAGGAAGAGGAGGAGGAGGAGGAGGAGGAGGAGGGGGAGGACCGTACATGGACATTATATTCGAACCCTGCGGCCCAAGATGCCCCCCCGACCCACCAAAATTAATATTGATGGCGTGGCGACGGGGGGGGGTGAGTGGACAGAAATATTCGAACCCCAAAGCACCGCCTTTTCTGAGATCAACATTGATGTCGGGGGCGCGGGAGCGATTTAGAATCTCCCTCGAATGTGAGAGGGTTTGAATCTATTGTCCATCTACTGTCGCGCCTCCGATGTGCTGCCAGGTCGTCCGAATGGTCGTCAAGCTTGGCGCGTTGCCGCTTGTTTTAATCGATGGCAAGCGTGTGCGCACCTTTTTTTCCGTGACACCGCGATCAGCAGTTTGCCGATAGTGAATAGAGGAGTCGAGGGTGAGCAGGAGGGATCGTGGCAGAAGAAGCCGGAGCAGTCGGTCGGTGGAGTAGGCAGGGGGCGGCCAGCCAGCGGGGGCGCTGTGTTGCGTGCCAGATTTTGTTGCCAGCGCTTCACGCGCGAGTCAGGCGTAGCGTGCTGCCGCTTGTTTGAATCGATGTCAAGCGTGTGCGCGCCTCGACTCCGTGGAACCGCGTTCGGCCGTCTCCGTTGCAGACGGTGGACGGAGCAGGTCAGGGTGAGCAGGAAGGATGCTTCGGAAAATAATCATACATGTAAGAATTCAGACACCGAAATTCAAGACTGAATGGTCCTCTGGTACTTCTTCAGGTGAGCTTCACAAGCTCGCGATATCAACAAAAAACGGTGCGTAATGTTCCGTGGCGCCGATGGCGCGAAATTTTGTATTCCTGGTTTGTGTTTTGGGAACTCAATGTCCCCGTTGCCGAACAGTCCCCCTCGCCCCAGGGCCCCCAGGTTTTCTTTGGAGTCCTGGGCTGTAAGTGGGCGCGCGTGCAGCAAAGGTTTTGTCCATAGCCTTGCGTTACAGCCTCCTTCGAGTGCCCCCCATCCGCATCCTCCTCATCCTTCCTTCCTCTACGCATGTCTCCCCTCTTACATGTTCCACTTGCCATGCGTTTTGCATTGTCTTGCGGCGGATCCCCAGCCCGTCCTAGAGTTGTCCGCTCGCTGCGAGTTCTCTCCGATGTCGTTGATGCGGTGAAGTGGCCGTGCCTGCAGAGCGCATGTCGTTCCTTTTCCCTCCTCTCTGTCGAGGACTGTCTCCTCGACCTCTGCCTTGCCCACTTGCCTGTTGCTTCTTTTGTTCCGTGAGCCACCCAAATCCGGATGCTCGCGCGGAGCTCCGCCTGTGCCTTTGCGTGCAGACACGACTGCGCCTGACTCCCTCTTCGTGGCGTTCCTCTGCCCTGCGCTTCCGGGTTGTGTCCAGATTGTTGGGTGGGTTTTCGAGGGCCGGTGACGTCGCGATTCTCGCCGGCGGCGTCTGGGAATGCCTAGGAATTCACCACCCGCCAAACGACCCCAACCCAACCCGAAGGCTTCAATTTTTTTACATTTCCAATGGGAGGGGGTCGGGGAACATTGAACAAAACACATGGAACCCGTCCCCCCCCAACCCGAAGTTCGGGTCAAATTCGGGTCTTCGGGTTGGGTTGGCGTGGTCTGGTAGGTGGTCAGAAATGATCGGGGAGGGGTAGCAGCACCATGTAGGTGGCGATCTGCATCACAGCGCCTGTGTACACCACAGTGCTTGCGTGCACCACAGCGCCTGTGTACATCACAGTGCCCATGTACTCACTCGGCCAGACGCCCCGAGTGAAAACTGAGTGAAAACATCGATGGACATTTTATGTTGCGAGAGAAAATCCATTCGGAAATCAAATCAGACGGGCTTGCAGAAACTGCAGGCGGGATTGCGCCAGAACATTGACCAAGGGTGCGCCTCAGGGAATCCTAGCGCGAGCTTGGCTAACTTTCGAAAGCTTGAACGCGTCAGAGTGTGACGCGCCTGAGCCCCCCTGACATCTCGCGAGCCGCATCGTGTGACAGCTTACCATTCGAAATCAGGAAACACTGCAAAATATGCAATTGATGTACATGAGTAAGCTACCATACGTTTTTCTTTGATTTGTGTCGAGGCCATCAAACTCTCATTTCCCCAAAAAACCCAAACATCCAAACTCTCAGGGCTTCAGGGTTTCAGGTTTGACTCAAGATTCGGACCCTCGAAAACGATCGCCGCATGGTTTGAAGACTTGATTTTTGGAACAGCGTTGGGTTTTGCATCATTATGGTTTCGAATGTGTGTTTGCGTTAGATTTGGGATGGGGCAATGCTGGGATTATAGACGATGGCAACGCGGGTGTATTTGCGGATTGTAGCACGCACGTGCTTGCGATTCCGGGGGCGCGCTCGTTTCACATGCAATAAGTTTTTGACACTTCACGTATCCCCACCAGCCCATCCAGGGAAAATGCGTAGGCGAGATGCCTTGGCCAGGGAAGTGTAGCAGCACGCAATGTAGCAGCATTGAGTGCAACAAAGAGGGTTCCAAAGAGCCCCGAGAGGGTCTCAAGATGGCCCCAGGGGGCTCCAACAGGGGCCCAAGAGAGCCCCAAGAGGGGTCCAAGAGGGCTGTCTGGGGGCCCTCTTGGAGCCTGCTGGGGCCCGCTTGGAGCCCTCTTCGGGCTCTCTTAGACCCCTGGGAGGGCTCCCAGGGGGGTCCAAAATGAGCGTCTCGGGCTGTCCCCCAGGACCCCTTCTGGGGGACAGCCCAGGGACTCCTTCTTGGGGCCGTCTTGGCGCCCTCTTGGAGCCTGCTGGGGCTCTCTTGGACCCCTCTCGGGGCACTCTTGGAGCCCTGGGAGTGCCCCCAGGGGGGTCCAAGAAGGCCCCAGGAGGCCCCAAGAGGGCCCCAAGATGGCTCCAAGAGGGCCCCAAGATGGCTCCAAGATGGTCCTAGCAAGTATCAGTTCAAACTCCGTCTGACGGAGTTTGACAAGGGTCTCACTGAACCCCTCCTGGACGCTTCTTAGGGCCCTCAGAGAGCTCCCGCAGGGCCCCCAAAGGGCCCCAAGAGGGCCGCAAGAGGCCCCAAGAGGGCCCCAAGATGGCTCCAAGAGGGCCCCAAGATGGCTCCAATATGGTCCTAGCAAGTATCAGCTCAAACTCCGTCAGACGGAGTTTGACAAGGGTCTCACTGAGCCCCTCCTGGACGCTTCTTAGGGCCCTCAGAGAGCTCCCGCAGGGCCCCCAAAGCCAAAGGGCCCCATGAGGGCCGCAAGAGGCCCCAAGAGGGCCCCAAGATGGCCCCAAGAGGGCCACAAGATGGCTCCGAGATGGTCCTAGCAAGTATCAGCCCGAGCTCCTCCGAGCTCCTCCAAGCGCCCTCCCCAGGGGCCCGGAGCGGCCCCTCACCAATTTTCAAAATCACCTCCGAAAAGGCGATTTTTGAAAGTTGGTGAGGGCCTCTCCAGGCCCCTGGGGAGAAGCACGTTCGGTCCGCGCCCAGCGGTTTCGAAGGACCGCGCTGGAGGCCAGGAAGGAAGAAAACGGAGGGAAAACAGAGGCAGGAGGGGAAGGGAGGAAGAATGGATGGGGGGAGGGGCAGTGAGGGAGGGAGAGTGGGGCATCGGAAGGGGGGTGGGGCAGACGGGGGGGGAGGGAGGACGGGGCCTCGATGGACGAGGGTTGGGAGAAGGTAGAAGGTGCAAGAAAATGAGGGGGAGTGGGGGCCAGGGCGCAAGGCGCCCAGAATGGGCACGAACACACATGCACGTCGAGGCGGTCTTACGATCAAAGATGCGAGTCTGCGGCCCCCCAATAAGTTTGCTGTGTTTCCATTGGCCCCAGGCCCTGCATGCTGTGATTCTGTGGCGAAAGTGAGCCGTCGCGACTCGATGTGTTTCTGTCTGGACTTACCCTGGGGTGCGTGCCAGGACATCCAACCAGATCAACCGTGTTTGAGGTCGTGTGAGGGCGTAGGGTTCGATGCGATTTGATATGTGACATTGATTTCTTTGTTATGCTATGCCATTCGACGCTGCACAATGTTGCAATGCCATGTTATGGTGAGCGGCGCTATACTGTACATCGCTATGCTGCGTTATTGTTTGCATTGCGTTGCACATCATTGCGTTAACCCTCATCGCGTTGCATTGCGCAGGGCAGTCTCGAGCACAGAAGTCCCCCTCATTCAGGTTGCGTCAGGCTTTTGGGCGTTGCCCCCCTTACTGTCGTTAGTATCCGCGACGTCCACATTGCCAGCCTCATCTTCATTGGCAGCATCGCCATCGTGGCAGTCTGTATTTGTAGCCATGTAGGCTCAAGGGTAATGGCCGCGCCGTCGGAGGCACCTGACAAACCAGAGGTCCTTCGGCTTCTGGAGAAATGGCACAAACCGTCCTTGCACCATGATTCTGCAGAGTTGCGCACGCTGGAACGCGTGACTGAATCAGGCAAGGAGTTTTGGAGGAGGCGGTTTGAGCGCAGCATTGCTGAAGCAGATGGGAGGCCGCTTCTGCTGTCGTATGCTGGCGATGGCACAAAACTCCGAACGGTGCATGGTTCCAGCGTCCGGTACAATTGCAAACGTGCCAGGCTATGTGGGCGCCAGTTTCTCGAATACTACGTGCAGCTGTGTTTCCTCGAATTCGTCGACCCCTCAGGTCGCAAGAATGTCACGGTCATGTTTGATGAGCCAAATCCCATGACAGACGGCCAAGGAGCTGCCGCATCGGCTGCTTTCGCTTTGCGTATGATCATGAACCCGAGGAAATACGGCCATGGAGGCCTCATCATATTTCATTGCGCATTTGACCGCGCCTTATTAGCATCAGTTTCTCGCATATTGAAGCAATGGTGGAAAAAGGAAGCCGTCCAACAAACAGATATCTACGAGCATCCGCCGGACATTTTGTATTTGATGCAGTGGTTTGTCGAAACAGGGTGCAGCATGCACGACACCCATAAGTCAATCGAGTGGTCTTTGTGGACGTGGTACCATAACAAATCTCTGATGAAAAACGTGCACTTGGCCATCGAAAGCCTTCGCGATAGCATGCAACAGTTGAGCGGGTTGACTCCCGAGTGGATGTGGGACGTTACGGTCGCTCGCTCCGCCGAGGAACTCGACGACCCAGACGATTTGAAACATTTCTGGTTGGCGATGGGCGTGGAGGAGAGCGTCGTGGCCACCCTGGTCAGCTTGCGCTTGCGGTACTTTGGGGGTCGACTCGAGATCCTTGACACAGGCGATGCGGGCGAGGACACCTTCACCAATATCAATTTCTGCTTGTTCAGCGTCTGGCGCTTGAAAAAGTTCAATGGCAGCAGGTGCGGTTGCGGCCCTTGTCCGAATCAACTTCCCCAAGGAGAAACGATGGGGGCCACGTTAATTTTCTGGGTTGGAGGTTTTGGGCGGCCCAGGGGGCCTAGCGCAATTTGGGCGGGCGGGTGGCGGGGGTGGGTGGGCAGGCGGAGCGGTCGCCAGGGTTATCGACGGCGGCGAATGTTTTTCGGTTCGCGCAGAGGGGGGGCAGGGCTACGGCGTTCCAGGCGCCTGGCAATTCAGTGTCGGGAAAACGGTTAGGCTGGGACCCCCCAGGTGGCATGCTGCAACCCGGGCTTGCCAGATGGGCGTCGGAGCAATATTTGGCGGGCTGCGCGGACTCGCCAAGCACGTGCTGGACCGCCCCAACGCGCAGGACTTTTACTTGGGAGGCGTGGAGCGGCTCGGTTCGGACGAACTTCACTTCATGGTGACGGCTGCTACGGCCAGTTTCCCAGCGGGCGCAGTGATGCAGATGTTGCTCAGAGATTCCCGGGTGGCCAAGCACCTGTGCGCTCTGAAGACAACTATTCGTGAGGCGATGGATAAACTTTGCAACTATGGCGATGGTATATGGGGTCTCTTCGGGAGAGTCTGCAACATGGCTGGCCCTGAAGTGCGGCACTCGTCCATTGGCGCGGCCCACGTCGCCATCGGTTTCATGATGTTTCGCTTTGTCTGGAAAGCAGAAGGCGCCCCTTGGTGCATGGTTCGTGGAGACGTTGATGCCAATTTGGACGCTCTCAAACGAGGCCCGATACCGACCGAACCCATCACGGAGCAGATGTGGCATCTGGACAAATTCCCTTGGGGGCGGCGTGTCAACAGACAGGGTGTCGCGCTGCTGGCCGACATACCCTGGGACACGATTGCGGCGGAGCATTTGCACGCTTCGGGGGCGCTCCGGGGCAAATTTCGCCCTGACACAACGTGCGAGGGCCTGATGGCGAGGGCGTTCATACACATGAGTAAGAAGGTCCCCCCAGGCCTCGACGAGGACGAACGCCGCGAAGCCATGCTACACAATCGTTTGAAGCGCCTCGAGAAAAGGCGGCCGCAAAGTTACCAGGGGCGTGAGCAGT